GAAATGTACTTCAGTAACGTACCCATAACTAGCAGCTGTTTTAAAGAGTACCTGACCTCCCTTTATATTAATAGAACAATAATGTCATTGTTAGCTAATGAATGTTTCCATGCTGAACAACGGCAACATGACAACGTTTTCATTGGTCCCTCTTCTTTAGAGAAGACCAGGAAATGATGGATACACGGATCGTGTTCAAAACAATAGGCACGCAATGACTCTAAATAATAATGATCACGCCACCAAACACACATTCAAACTAAAGGAACCAGCCTGTTTGGAAAATGTGAGAAGTAGAAAGTACAGGTATTTGTGTTCAACATGGAAGAAGTAAAAGTAAAAAGTCGTCAGAAAAATAAGTAGTGGAGTAAAGTACTGATACCATAAAAATGTACCTAAGTATAGTAACAAAGTATTTGTACTCCACTGCTTCCCACCTTGTAGTTATTCTGTATATTTATATTGTGTACTCGAGATGCTTTATAGATGTATTTCACAGTCGATATATTTTCTATGTTATTTTACTTTCAATTGATGTGCAATGTATTTCAGTCCGTTCATGTTGTTTTAGTGATTCAGTAAATGGGACTTTAGGGTGAGTTAAAGCAGGTTTTATGTATCAGTTTGCAGTAAACAGACCTGACAGGTGTGGATCAGTTAAAGCTGACAAAGACGGACGGGCTGAAACGCCTCTGTGAGGAAACTGCCTGCGTGTCTGGCTGCAGTTCAAAAAGAGACATGAGCTCTGAGAGCTATTTTTATTGTGAGGAACGTGTGAACAGTTCAGTTTGGATCATCTTGTTTTACAGAATGTATTCAGTCACAATGATTTGCTGTTTCATATTGGAAAGTGTTCAGAGTTATGAGCTGAAGAGATCCAGATGAACAGGTTGCTTTTCACTAAGAGTTACCACAAATAGACTGCAGTCAGGAAACAAGACTTAACGTTGGAAAGGAATCAAAAGGTGTTTCCAAAAAGTTATTTTTAAATACATACGTGTTTGTAATTTATTAAGGACGATGAATATGCAACAGAGACCTGACATCTTCCATCCCTCTCATAATGATGAGACCAAACAGTTTATTATTTTGGAAAAAAAAGACCTCCCTGAATGTGAAAAAGAAAAATAATAAAGTTTGTTTTGTCATTTTTATTAACCTTTCCAGAGTTACTTTGAAGGCCAGTAAAAACGTTATTTGCATTTATAGCAACAACAACAAAAAAAGTGTATATTGTCAAATATTAAGGTATTTTAATTGAACATATTTATAATAATTGTATTGTATTTCAGTTTTAAAATGTGTTCCCATTTTTTAATCACATTTTATTGTATTTATGTTGGATAATAGTCATGTATTTTAATAATGTATAGCTTTTTACAATGCTGGAATTATTAAAAGCTTTTAATTAACACATTATAATCATTTGTGTCTCTCGTGCATTGGTTTTAATGGTGAAGTCTTCTAATTATTGTGTCTGAGGAGGTCAATCTGTCTCTGAGCTGTTTCAGAATATCAGATCTGATCTGAAGGATGTCTGACGCTGGTTAACTTCACTCTGACGTGAAAACCACAGATGAAACTTCTGATAAAGACAAACATGTCCTCTGTATTTCTGTGACTATGCCACATATATAATTATGTTACAACTATTATTCAAATTAAACTAAACAATTATTGTACAGATAACAAAAACGTAGTCAAATCATTGAGCTTGTAAAGATATAATGTTGATAAAGCTCTGTATGTGAATGTATCTGTATATTTAGGACTATTTTTAAGGTATTGCAAAAACATTTTTACCACTTAAAGCGATGTAACTTTACAATGGGAATAATAGAATATATATTTAATGTTGCAGGCTGGCAGCTGTAAAGTTTGAATTCATTTTAGTTTAGCTCCTAGGTATAGTTTCATATAAAATAATAATAATAGTAATAATAAAAAAAAATAATAAAATTTTTTATTAATAACCTGAATTTGGAAAGTAAAAAAACTTAAGTGACGTAAAAAAAAAAAAAAGAAGTAGCATGAAATTGAAATACTCAAGTATAGTACAAGTACCTCATGGTGCACATTAATTACAGTATCTGAGTAAATGCACCTACTTTTTTTTCCAGCATGAATAATAACTCGCTAATGTTTTCTGCCTCTTTATCTTATCAGCTTATTGAAATTCTGACTATATATTACTCTTTATAGTTGACTTAATCTGCATTAATTTCACATTGGTCTTGCACCAAATCTGCCCTATTTTATTCTACTATATTCTACTCTCTTGCACTATTTCTATTTTATTTTATTTTTAATTTGTTTTATTGTTTTAAGTCTTATATTATGTTGCATTGTTGGAGGAGCAGGGGTGTCCAAACTACGGCCCGGGGGCCAAAATGTGGCCCGCGGACCATTTTGAATCGGCCCTCAGCAAATTCAAAAAGTATAATGACTAAAGTATGATTAACTTCAGTCAATTTAAGTTGAAAACATGTTCTAACAAATTGATAAGTTGATAATAAAAAAGCCCAATAACTTATTTTCATAACAACCTTGAAATATACCCTTCATATTTCCTCTCATTATAGGCAATCTGAAGCTTCTGTTTTAAGGATGAGCTGCTAACAAAATAAATGAAACCCTATGGAGAGCTGTGATGTAGGCAGTTTTTTCAAGTATAAAGAATAATTTACCTACATTGGATTGATTTTTCCAACTTATAACCGAACTTATTAGGCAATATACCTATAGGGAGTGGAACAGCCCTTCGTATGTGGCCCTCGGTGAAAAAAGTTTGGAAGCCTGTGAAAGTGAAGGTGCTGCAGTGCCCCCTGCTGGTCAGATGCCGCAAATATGTGCGCCAGTCTCTGCTGCTTTACGGTATTTGAGGTGCGCCTCTACTACCGTACCTGAGACATGGCAGCGGAGTTACGTCATCTCCGTTCACTCCAATGGACCACTTTTTTACTTACTCCATTTTGCCAACCCAAACTTCCAGGTACATGACGGGACACCTTGCTTGTTTTTGTTGTTTGCGCTCCTCTGGCTGGGTGCTGGCAGGTGGAGGGCAGTGATGTTGGCAGGTGGAGGGGCAGTGATGTTAGCTGTTACACACCAGTCTCAAACTTAACACATTGCATCCTTCTTTGCAGTGTCCTTATTCCTGGAAGGGGAATCTGCAATTCCTGCAGAGTTTTGTAACCCGTTGGTCCGCACGCAAAGCGAATTTTTAAAGCCTTCTTAATTGTCTCATTGCTCCATTTCATCCCCTTTGTGGTGAGTCTACCTAATGCCTTAAGTTGGTCTTTTAAAAATGTTTTCTTATATTTCTTGTCCCTAATTTTCATTGTTTTCTTGAGAGCTGCATTTTCCTTCCTGATTTTTCTTAGTGCAGCCTTTGCTTTTTTGGTGATTCCTTCTTGGCTCTTTAATTTTCTCTTGAATTTTTTGAATAGATCTGTTTGACTGGCTGCTGGTTCCCTCGTATGCTGACTGGCTGCTGGCTGAGTGGGTGGTGTCCGCCCTCCCTGTCTCTCCTCACTAGCCATGTCCTCTCTTTCTTCACCCTCACTTTCCTTTCTCTCAGTCTCCTCATCCCTTCTTCCCCTCAATCTTTGAAGACTAATGTAAGTAGAAGACATGGCAGCTGTAGCATTTTTCGAACATTTTTTAAAAAATATTATACCACTTAAAAATAAGAAATATTACTTTTGTTACTAAGAGTTTCATACTTATTATACCAGTGTCACCTTTTCACACTATACGCTGTGATCATGAGCTCAGGCTCCTGTATCATTACCGATAGTCCGCTGACTCTGAGCTTTGGGCTTTCCTCGATAGATACAGGTCCCGGCTATCCTGATGAAAAATAAAAGTCTCTCTGTTGCATGGCCACTGTTTGATCAACGCGAATGGTGAATCGTGGTGCAGGGCCCTTCTCTTTTGACCACAGGGCGATGCACGAAGATGGTGTGGTATAG